GGGGGGGCCAAGCACCCTTGCCGCCAGTCTCGGCCAACTGATGGACTTCCACCTGTCGGCACGCGCCCTCCCCAGGCAGCCAATGTGCGCACGAGTGGGCTCGTGCTTTGTCCGTGGGGGCTCGCCGTCGCGCAGGCTGGCGCGTAAGGCGGGAGCTGCACATGGCCGCTCCCACGGACAGCATATCACCACGCACCCCGTCCCGGCGTGCCCCTTCGAGGGGGGGGGGGGCCGGGACGGGGCCGGGGCGGGACACCGGCCGATCGTGTCTCCCACCCCGCGTCCAAGCCCCGCCCCCGCCCGCCCCGCGGGTCGATCTTTGTCGAGACCATTCCGTTGGTACCTTTCCTTGTTCCCCTCCCCCGAGATCCAGGGGCCGAGGGGGCGCCCAGTGTGGTCTCGAAGCCGCCTTCACCGCAGGTGTTTGGGTGTTCCGGGCGTCGATGAGAGGGCGCGGGGAGCCGCGCGACGGGCTCCCCGGGGCCGACGCGCGGCGCCAAAGCCCAGGGCAGGGAGCCAGCCGAACGCCCAGGTGGCCCACGCGTCCGAGTGCTGCCTTGGCGCGGGGCCTTTCGCCGCCGGCGAAATAGCCGGAGAGCCAAAGGAAACACCGAGCGCCCTTCGCGGGGCCATGGCACATATCAGGGTGTGGGGACAGACGACCCCAGGGGGATGCCGGGAGTGCGTTCTCGGATGCCGTTTCCCTTCGGCCAGGGCCGGAGGAGCGGGGATTCCCAAAAGAGGGTCCCGGGTGGAGCTTGCAATCTCGCGCCTTGCTCATCTATATGTGTCGCGCCCCTCTCAATGCCACATACTGCCGCCCCCCCCCCCCGGAAGGGAGAGAGATGCTGATAGACTTTCAATTATCTCGCGCCCTCTGTCTTTTCCTTTCTCTCTCTCTCTCGACTTTTGGCAACACCGCCACCTCCCCCGGGACCTGGCTCTCAGATTTCACAGGCGGACGCGGTGAAGTGTGGGCAACGACTCGCCTTGACAGCCGTACTTTGCACACCGTGCGTGGTCACATGGAATGTCACAGGGCACACAATCACGCTCCTACTCGGGCTGAGGAAGGCGGCCCGGCGGTCCAGGGCACTGCCCTCCCCAAGACTGGCTCTTTGGTCCTGCCTCCCCCCCCCCCTGCTGTCCCAAAGAGGATGTACTATTAATTCCCCACCGGCCTGTGCCACCGGGGTGGTGCCCACACTGGCCAGTCCTCCGCCAAGACGCCAGAAGGGGGGGGGGCCGGGGGACACAAAGCGAGAGCACGGCCATTCTTCAGTCGCGATCGGGCGCCAGGGCCCCGGCCCCGGCGTGAAAAGGTGACAACGACTACCCGTCCCCGGGCCCGCATCGCCCGTCCGGGGGGGGGGGGGGGGGGGGGCAGGCAGACTGTCCGCCAGGCCGGGGATCCCGCGCCCTGGCCCCCCCTTCGAGTGCTGCAAGCTCATCTGGCCGGCCCCTGCTTCTCCCCGGTTCCCCGCCCGCCCATCGTCCCTTGGTAGTCCCACTGGATGGACCAGCAGCACGTTGATCCTCTCTCCGGCCGTCAAACGCCCCCTCGCGGAGCTCCCCCTCCCTCCGATCAGGCTGCCAAGCTGGGCACCACCCGGACCGGCCGGCGCTGGTGTTTGGTCCATCCCTCCTCCCTTCACCCGGGGACAGCGCGGGTGTGCCAGTCTTGAAATTGAGCCGACCAATCTTCTAGCAATCGAGGGTCTCACATTCCTCCCCGTCTCCCTTTCCCCCTCCCCTCCTCTCTGGCCTACCGCAGTCCTTTTCCTGTCCCCTTAATTCCATTTGCCTCCCTCTTCGAACCTCTTTAGCATAGATCACACACACACACATAAGCACATACACACTTCGAGCACAACCATGAGCCACTACGGAAAGCTGTGCGTCCCACGCTGGCCTTTTGCGCGATGCCCAGCTACAGCCACGCCGCCGTGTCCCTCCTCCCTCTGCCGCCCCCCCCCCCCCCCGCCGCCCCCACGGAAATGAACATGGCCGAGACGGCCAGGCCTGGCAATCCGGGCCCCTTATCGCCCCAACTGTCACCTCGCCCCCTTGGCTCCCTCGCCCCCCCCTGCTCCCACCCACACCCCGACTCACACTCGTACCCATGCTCACCCAGCGACGGCGAGGGTGATAATCCCTTCGGCGATGATGAGCAGTTCTCCTCCGTGCCGATGACCCATTCCGAGTCCCCCGAGCAGAACTACGCCCAGCCGCAGGCCACTCTCCTGGTCAATGGCAACCCCTTCGGCGCTACGCCCGTCCCGACCGCGGTGCCTGGCTCTGGCGCCCCGCCTCCTGGTGCCTCTCCTCCACCCTCCTACTCGGAGAACTTTGTGTCCGTCAGCCAGGATGCCCCCGTTGGCGGCGGTGTCCATTCCGCCTACACCAATGACGCCTACATGCCGGACCCCTCGGCGCCGATTGGTGTCAGCGTCGATATGTCTGCCACTGCTCCTGCCGCTCCGGCCGCTTCGGCCCGGAACCTCGCCACCCTCGATGAGCCGGTTTCCGTGACCATCGTACGTTTGACTTTCTTCCCCTACCTTGGCATGGCCATTGTGTCTCGCATGTTGCTCTTTCTCCTTCCTCGCCCGCCTCCCCCCCCCCCCCCCCCCCCCCCCCCCCCCCCCCCCCCCCCCCCCTGCTTTGGGGACCACCTACTCGGCGGAGAGAGGGACCATCGCTTTTGACGGGCCCCGACCTAACTGCCC